CTCCCTGCCAGCTCCCAGATCAGCTTCTCTCATTGGTTGATGTCCAGCAGCTAAAGGTCAATGTTTCCAACTCCAGCAGCTGCTGCTTCTGAAGCTCATGAGGCTTCAGGAGCTTTTGCTGCGCCTTGATGTGCATCAACCATCGACTTTGCATGTAAACTAGCTGCTTCTGCTGCCTCTGCTGCTGTAGGTGTGAAAGTAGCATTAGTCTGCGCGGTATCCTTTAATTCCAGGGTGGGGGCGAGCCCAGTCCTCTAGAGCTGCTGTCCTGCAACATTTCAATGCATCCCATTTCCAACACACCTGAAACAGAGCATCTTGTCACAAAGCCTCTGCAGAGCTGAGTGGCAGGGGGGGAGCATGGACACCCCAGTTAAGGTCAAACGGATCTTTAAGGCCAATAGCTTTATCATTAATGGGTCTACAGTCTGGTTTATCCTCAGAAACCAGGTCACCTGCGTGTGTGTCGCAGTTAATGCAGATATACCCCCCCCTTCTGCAGACACCTCTCCAAAATTTGCAGGTGACTGCAGACAGTGCTGCAGACAGGAGGCCTCTGATTGGTCAGATCTCCATCCGCTCTACTCTATGCGTATCTCCTGGTTGGTCCCTCATGGCAGAAGCTCTGGCTGTAGCTCCGTCCACAGCGCCTGGCTCGCCTCGGACTCTATCCCAGACGCCGTGCAGGACGCTAGTTTGTAGCTCTGTGCGACGGTCTGTTGGTTTGCACCCGAAGCCAAAACACGCAGCGCCACGGCCAGTCTTTGGAGAACACTCACGGGGGAACTGTGTGTCGTCCGGCGTTGGAGGAAGGGTTGTAGACGGCGAACAAGCTCGTCAAACCGACACACGGACGCCCACCATGCTAGCTAGTTCCTGATTGGCCCTCCAGCGTTGTGGCATGGAATAACAGAGAGCAGACCACGCTTCTATATTGGGCATAGATCAAAAATATCTGCATCATACCTGCAACAGGCAAACTGCGACACACTGCTGCTGGAGAATAACCAGCCTTTAACTCTTAAGGACCGTTGACTAAAGGAGCTGGACATTAGGTCCTCCTGCTCTGGGGCCGCAGACATCATAGGAAGGTTCTTTTTCCAGGGGTGTCAAACTGGTTCCAGAAAGGGCCGTGTGGCTGCAGGTTTCCTTTCCTACCAAGCAATAGCACCAGACTCCAGTCATGTCATCAAGTGAGTTCAATCTGAACATGATGACTTGATGAGATGAATGGAGTCTGGTGAGCTATTGCTTGGTAGGACAGAAAACCTGCAGACCTTTCTGGAACCACTTTGACACCTGTGTTTTATTCAGTGTCTTTCAGGTGGATTTTTAGTCTTATTAAGTTTTTGCCACTCTTGACTTTTCATTGGTTTAGTTCAAGAAAAGCTGGAGTTGCTGCCCCTCCCATTGGCCAATGAGCGGCGGCCCTGTGTGCTGGTTGGCCGGGATAACATGGCCCTGCCGGCCAGTCTGGTGAGTCAGATCGGCTATCGCTGCCATCCGTCGCTCTACACGGAGGGAGATCCTGGGGAGAAGGTGGAGCTGGTGGCAGGTAGGTTTCATGTGGGTTGTCATGGTAGCAGAGCCAAGAGAAAGGTATTGGGTCATGTGACCTGGTAATATGCTTTGGTATTTTCAGGCTCAGGTGTGTTCATGACAAGAGGTCAACTCATGAACTGCCACCTTTGTGCTGGGGTCAAACACAAGGTGCTGCTCAGGAGGCTGCTGGCCACCTTCTTCGACAGGTGAGATGTTACCTGGCATCTCAGCAAGAATGGTTTATTTTCCTTTACAAGAGGCAGCAGGTTCTGGGATGCCACACGGCTTTGGCTGTGTTATATTAGAACTATTCACAAAGGAGCTTCATTCTATTCAGTTTATTTCTATAGCTCCAATTCACATCATGTCATCTCAGGTCACTTTCCAGTTCACCAGATCATCCA